TTCAGATTTTGATTCAAGTGTGGAGGCACCTCCTGTCACCAACTTCCAGCTCCCCAGTCGTCCTTCTGATGGGGGCAAAAAAAAAAGTACTGAAAAAGGAACAGGTTTCCTCTCTGAAGACAGAGAAAATCATTCATCCAACAACTGCTAACGAATAAGAATATCCAGTACACCTGAGTGTCCACTACGTGTCAGACACTGAGGACTTTACATCACTTGTGTTACTGAAGCCTCACCATGCTCCCATGAAAGCCTTAGTTCTACCCGCATGTGACAAAAAGGAGGAAATGTGACAAAAGCAGGACTCCAGCCTAGGTTCACTTCCATACTGGCAGCGCTGCTCAGCCAGGCCTTGTGACCAAAGGTGCCAAAGATGCGTGAAAGGTGGTGCTGGAGTCTTGCCCAGCAGTGAGGCACAGTGTGGTCCATCCTGAGGGGTGAAGGGGGGTTCTAGGTGCACAGAAAGGAGTGAAGAAAGCCCCAAGAGAAGGGGCTCCCAACACCTTCCTCCATCTCTCCTCCCCCCATCCCCAGAGGATCAGTTCAGAGAAATGAGGGTGAAAAAAGTGGCCTCAACTCTCCTCCAAGTCACCAACCAGTCTTCTGTAGAGGCAAAGAACAATTTGCTTCCCCAACCCTGCACCTAGCTGGATGAGCCTGGAAAAGTCACTTCCCCTCTCAGGTTCCTCTGATATGAGATGATGTGGCTGTGTTGCTTCAGAGAGGGGAGAGGGGAATGCAGAGGCACTTGGAGAGCTTGCAGGGTCACACTGTGCCTACTATGCCTCTGACAAGGACGGTAAGGCATCCAAGGGGCTGGGTACTAGAGCATCAGTAGAAATTCCCAGGTAACTTACTGGCCTGGGCCTAGGAACCTGGAATGGGGGAGGGTGGGGTTGGTGGTCTGTACCTAGTTATCACCTCAAGCCTAGAGTCTGAACCACCCACTGGGGCACAAAGGCCTATTTGTGAGCCAGCTTCCTGCCCCCGACCTTGCCACCACCGCTGCCAGGAAAGAGAGCTAACATGTTGGGCTCCAGGCCAACCAGTATTGGGTCCTGAGCCAGTCATGCAGCTTGGAACTCACCCACCATACACAGTTTAAAGACTAGGGCAGTCCTAGCGCAAAAGAAGGGGTGGAGGGAATGGGCAGTGGGGCTGTGGGGATGGAAGTTAGAGTAGCAGAACTTTTTTATCTGAGGGAAAGAGGCCCAGGTGGGGGCTGGGGCTGCCAGTGAGAATGGGTTAGGTCTCTTTCCTCCAAGCCCCATCTCTCCCTCATATCTTCATTTTGGTCAGACACCTGGGGATTACAGGCTGGGTGCATACGCCGGCTAACACACGTTCCTCCACACATTTCTGAAGTGGAGTCGGAACTGAGATCCAGGCGACATCCTAGCCTTAATGCCCGTCCTCTTCGAATTCTCTTCCCGTGAAATGAGGTGGCCTGGCCGCTACCCTCCTCCAGGTAGTCTGATTCTAGGGTGGCCAGGAGGCAAGCCCAGAGTGGGTCACATAGCACAGCAGTGGCTTAACTCTGGACCACCTGTCGCCCCTGGGGCTGATTCCCCAATTGCTGTTTCCAAAGACCGTCTTGGGAGATGGACAACAGGAGAAGCTCCAGAAGACCACCCTGCGGGTGAACATCGTCTCCAAAGTCCCAGGAAGACCTGCAAATCACATGGGCCTCTGCACTGATTTGTCTCTGCCAAATTGCCTCTCCCTCCCTCCTTTCCTCAGCCTGGTCAATTCCAGGTCCTTCCAAACTCAGCTCCAGGAAACTGTGAGAACTAATTTAAAGGGGGGAGGGGTCAGAAAGGAGACTGGTTTCAAGATAAATATACTATAACCCATAACTTTCTTGTGCTCCTGTCATAACTAGTTAGACATTGTAATGCAAGCAAAGATTTCATTCACAAGAGCACATAAAATGCCAAGGAATGCTTAAGAAACAGAACTACGGGGCGGGGGGTGGGACACAACAATTTACAAAGGGCTGTAAAAGTTGTGAATAAGTGAAAGTCATTCTGGGTCCTAGATGAAAAAATAGCATATTTGGAAGATGTAAAATCTCCCTCAAAGTAATGTCTAAAGGCAGTTAAATCAAATTTCCAAAGGGTTTAACATTTTTCACTTTCTTTTTGGAACTAGCCTTAAAAATTCTAAAATATTTATTTAGAGGACTGTCTTTCCAAAATAACTATGAGAATTTGGGGAGGGAGGAAAGAATCAGGAAGCAGAAAGTGATTTGCCCTTTCAAGCATTACAGAACTACCATAATTAAAAGGGTGAGACTAGGGCAAAAGGAAATAGCTCCCTAGATGAGAAAGCGCAGAGAGGACCTGAGTTCACCTGAGAAGGCAGAGTGTGGTATCTGGTCAGTGGGGACATGGTGAGTCATTATGCGGTGCTATAATAACTGACTAATCATTGGGGGGAAATTAACCCACAAACTCACTTCACGTATTCCATATTAATATTTGAAAATTAATTTCAAAAATGTAAATAAATGTAAATTTTAAAGTGCTAACATAAAATATAAGTAAATGCTTTTGGATAGCTGGATTTGAAAAAACTCTTGTTAAGTATGATCTGTAAATAGAATAAAGAAAAAATGACAGATGTGACTACATGAAAAATGTTAGTTTTGGTATAACAATAGCAACATAGGATCAACAAAAATAGAGAAATGCAGCATATGTCCAGATAGAGGATACTGCTGATTTTACTATATAAAGCAATTACAAATTAAGGAAAAGAGAAGCTATCTGTTAGAAACATAAGTAAAGACATACACATATTTTTTAAACATGAGTGAACAACTCATATGGGAAAAACTAAGGAAATGCCAATTACAGTGACAATAAGATCCCTTTTTCCTGCTTGAACTGGCAAAGATTAAAAAGATCAGCAAAATGCACTGCTGTTGGGTGTGTCCACTGATACAACTTTTCCTGAGTGCAGACAGGTAGCAGTCAAAAACTGAAAAAAAGCCTCTGACCCTCTGACTAATCAATCTCATTTCTAGGAATTTATCCTAAGAAAATAATTAGGCAAACTCATAAAGGATGTGCATTGTATTTTTTTATTATAGCAAATATTGGAAACAAACTTAAATACCTATTAAAAGGGAACTGGCTAAATAAATTAGGGTATATTCATACAATGAAATATTAAGCAGTTCTTTAAAAGATTATGTAGATATATTGATTGGTGTGAAAAGTGCTTATATTTGCAAATTTTAAAAAATAACAAAAAGTATATTGTTGTAAATGGAGGCACACAGAAATATTCCAGATACACTTTGCTGGAATGTCTAAAATGTTTTACTTATCAGAACAGGCAATAATGTTTCCATTTGGGAAAGCGAAAGTCTTGCAGCAGGGGTCCCTGTCTTCAGAAGGTTCCTTTCACCCTTCTTGGCCCACTCACACCTCAGCCCTGTACTCCCTGCGAGCTCAATGTTGGGTGACTGGGTCCACAGTTGGCCAATGAACTCTTTAAGGGCCCATCGCGGTTGATTTATCTCCAGTCCTCAGGGCCAGGCACTACAAGGTGCTCCATATTAATGAAATGAATGAATGACCAACGTTCACGTTTCCGTGAATAACCAGTGAGTTGAACAGAATGGAATCGACTGAAAGCTCCCAGGTCTGACCCTACCAGCCCAGAACTGAAGGTGAGAAGAAAAACGCCTGGGAATGGGAGTCGGATCTGGGTGCCGGTCTTCCTCTGGGCTCAGCAACACTACAACCCCGTGCAAGTCACGTCGCCTCGCCGAACCTTGGAACCTCGGCCGACTCATCCGGAAAGGCGGCACGTCCCACCTCCCCCAGGGACTACGGAACAAGCAAGACAGCACACACCAAGCGTTTAGCAGAGTAGCGGTACACAGTAGGCACTCAAAACTAGAAGCAAGTAGGAGGGTGATGAACATCACTCTGCGCGTTTGTCCCCGGCTCAGATGCGCTCAACAAGAAGGATGTGGAGATAGGAAGCTAGGCGGCAAAGGGCAGCCGCCCCTCCTGGGAGCGACCTGCAGAGGCAAGGGCCTGAACCAGAGGAGGGCGGCGGCTGAGGCTCTGCCTTGGGGTTCCGGCCGCGCTCTCCGCGTGGATGACCTCGCTCCCTCCGCCTGCAGCTAGGTCCCCGACTCACGCCTTCCCTGGGGGAGTTGAGAGCCTGGGAAGAGGCCAGTCCTGCGGGCGCCAGGGTAACGGTTCCGAGAGGGGCCTCAGGCCCAGACATCCACCGTGCCCAGCTCGCGCCTGGAATCCGGTAGAACCTGGACTCTGGCTTCCCTGGTACACCCGAGTTCGAATTCTGCTATGTCCCGTACTGGTTGTAAGATGTGGGACAAGTTACCTCACCTCTCTGAGTCTGTCTTCTCACCTGTCAAGTGGGATAACAGGACTTGCCTCTCAGAGGCAGAGCGTGCTGTGACTCACGAACGCACGTGAAGGAAGCTTGAGAAGTCAAGCGCCACGATGGCAGAGGGTCTTTGTGGCTGCAAACCTGTATCTGGGTCTTCGGTCCTGGCCTAGGCCAGATCCGAGGCCTCGACCATGCAAAAAGCCCATTTTAGGGGCTGAGGACCAGGACTGCAAACCAGGCTGCGCTTCTCCCTGTCCATCTGGGGGTGCACGCGGCAGACAGTCTTAATGAACGTAGCTCGCGAGTTGATCCGGAGGAAGATGTCGTTGTGTGTCTGTGCGTGTGCAGGTGTGTGTGTCTGTGCGTGTGCAGGTGTGTGTGTCCATGAGCAGGTCATATGCACAAGAGCGTCTGTAGTTGTGCTGGAAACAGCGTGCTTGGGGCGGCCCGCGTAGACTCCTTCTCCCAAAGGCACTTTCCCTCTTTTCCCCGCGCCCCCTTCCCGGTAAGGAGTTTCAGCCAAACTAACGGAATCTGGCGCGGCCAGGGGAGGGGCAAGGACGGGAGGGGCGATTCCGTCCCGAAGCCACTGATTTGGGGATAATTACTTTTAATGTCAGAAAGATTTAGTTTAATATCATCTCTATTAGGCTGCCGGGAGGGTAATTAAACGGGACGCGCCGCAGCCGGCAAACAGATGGCGTCTGCTCGCTCCGCGGCCGAGGGCAAACAGCGCAAAAGTCAGTGCCTCCGGGTCCCCCATCGGCGGCGTCCCGGCCGGGTTCGTACTCAGCGCCAGCGCGCCCCGCCCCCAGCCCTCTCGGCGCCCTCCTACAGCCCCCGCCCCCGGCCTCCCCCTGGGCCCCCAGCGGGGCCATCCCTCTGTACCCCACCGCTGCCCGGGCGGGGGCGAAGGTTGGGGGCCAGTCTCAGCCAGGCTCACCCGGGGCCCCCACATCTTGGCACAGCAGAACTGTGTGTGCAAAAGAGTTTGAGCTAAGAGGACATGTGTGAGAGAGTGTGTCTGTGTGCGATTGTGTGAAGAAGGGCTTTCTGCTCTCCGCACCTCATTTGTCCCAGAGGTCTGACTTTCTCTGCCCAGGGCCCGGCGGCCCGCAGGGCCCTGTAGTAGTTGGGATAGGTCCCTGGACGAGCCAGGTGCAAGTTCCTATGCTCCGGTCTGGGTGTTCAGTCACCTGGGTGGGAGTCTGTGGACCTCAGGGTGAGAGGTCACACACCGAGTGGATGTCTCAGAATGAGAACATGCTTATGAGAGGCCTGTGAAGTCCATCAGACTTTGGGAACGGGTCCTCTGGGGTGGGAGAGCAGCGTCAGAGATGCGTTTAGATCCCCTGGAGAAGGACATGGCAATCCCACTCTAGTTTTCTTTCCTGGGAAATCCCATGGACAGAAGAGACTGATGGGCTACATTCCATGGGGTCACGAGTCGGACACGACTAAGCAATTAAACCACCACCACCACCTGAGGTGCTCGGGTGTGAGGGTGTGTCCAAGACTTGTGCAGAATGAGGTCATACGTGCAGATTGTGTGTCCAGCTGTGAAGCCATACTCTGGCACGTGTTACGGGCATGGCCCCCAATGCCTCAATCTGGGCATGCTTTTCCCACCCTTGGAGGTTAGGTCCAGTGACCACCTTCCGGTCTGCTCCCCTCTGAGAGCATAGCTCAAATCAGGACTAGCTCGAAGTGGCCTATGGAGGTGTGAGTACAGCCACCTCGTCGGAGGACGGTTACTCTGACTCCTTCCATGACACATGCACTCACATGAGCACAGGGGGACATCAGAGCCTCAGAGACATCAAAAGAAAAGGTTGTGGTCCCGGACCTGTTGGGTTGTGAATGCGAGGAGAGAGGCCAGGCTCTAAGGATGGGCAGGTTCCCTCTGGTTGAGAAGGGGTCCAGGCTGTGTCCTCTCCCCTTCTTAAGGAAATGAGATTCCTTCTACACCAGCAGGATAAAACGCGGGGACCCCAAACCCCGTGGCTTGACCCTTGGCTGCCGCAGGATCACTGGGACGGGAGTGGGGGAATCTCACAGCGGCCAGGCCTCAACGCCCCCCCGCCCCCCCGCCTCTCAAACTAGGCGGACGTCTATACTTCTTTTCGTTTGAGGTTTAAAATGACTCGAAAACTTTATCCAAGGGAGCTCTGAGAGGCGCCTGGCCTCCGGGGCCAGATTCTCTTCTCTCTCCTCCAGCCACCCTCGCCCCCCTGCTAGGGGGCAGTTAACGCACAGATTTCCTTAACCTCACCACCTCGAGGTGCTGGAGGTGGGGGTCTGGGTCCCGTGCCCCTGCAGAACTGTTACCCCAGACTCACTCCCTTACTCTCACTCGGAGCGGGAGACCCAACGAGGGCTGACGCCTTTCTCTCTCAGGCTCCAGCGAGTGGAATTTGCTGGGGGCGAACAGCCCGGTTTCTGTCATTATCAAAGACCGTCAAGGTCTGAGCATGTCGCGCGCGGGCCTGGTCAACTTTCTGGAAGCAATGCTTCCCGCACCAGCCCCTCCCCTGCCGGGGGTCCCCGGCTTGGCTTCGCGGAGGAGCTTGCGCGATGTTCTGCGCCTTGCGGTGGCAACCCCGCGCGTCTAGCCTTCCCACCCCAGCTGCCCAGCCCCGGGCTCAGAGGCGGCTGCGCTGGCAGCAGTTGACCTTGCAGGTGGGAAGGGCTGCGTCCGGAGGCTCCCGGACGAATCTCCGCGCCCAGGACGGCGGGCCAGAACCTGGGGCCCTGTAAGTTCGAAGAAGCAACGCGGAAACGCTTGGTCGGGAGTGGAGAGAGAACGACAGGAAATTCATTTTTCTTTTTTCATGAATTAAATGAATTTTCTTTACTTTCGGAGTAAAGAGAGAAAAAAAGAATGATAGAACATTAGAACGAGGAAAAGACAGAAAGAAAAGGGAAAGAGAGTCAGAGCCAGAAAAACGCGAAGCGATCCCGCCCGAGGACCGCGGCATTAATTCCAGATGTTGCCATTCAAATGGGAAATAAAATCCGAAACCTGTTACCTCAGCGCACCAAACAGTTCCTCAGAGCCGTGACGTCAGGACGGGAGAGTGTGACCAAAGTTTAAAACTACTCTTGGGGGCCCGCGGCGACCTTGTCTCCGGACCGGAAGGACAGAATGATGTGCGTCCTGCGTCCAAGGGGATCTGGGGAGTCGGAGAGGCCACTTTTTACTTTCGTTTAAAAAAGAAAATCAAACTGCTAACTTAAAACAACGACGAAAATAATCCCACCACCACGGAAAAGGTATCTGGATGCTGCAAAAGTGAGGAAAGCGCAAGATGGGGCAGAAGGACGGAATAGGGGGGCTGGGAGGGGAAAGGCGCAGAGCGCACCGCCCGGGCGGGCGCCGACAGGAAGCGCAATCTTTCTCCTCTCCCAGCTCCTTTCTAAAAACGAAAATCGTCACGCCACACTTACCCTCCGTGATGCCTATCGTATCAGGACTTTTAAAATAAAGGACCTGCATTTTAAAGGCGGCAAAGGGGGAAAAAATTGTCTCAGCTACCCCAAACGCCTCGGACTTGGGAGCAAGCCGAAACAGAGAGGGATAAAGGCAGGAAAAATCGTCCTGGCATTTATGCCATGAGCACCCTCCCTTCTCCACCCCCGTGCTCCCGTTCCACCCCCACCCCGGCCGCGGTAATTGAATTGTCACCTGCCCCCATCCCGCCCCCGGCCGCCAGGGCTACTTGGGAATGTCGGCCTTGCCAAGCGCCCCTAGCCAGTGAGAGCGGCGCAGCGGAGCCCGCGCCCCAGAAACCGAAGGGTTACACACGTCTACGTAGAGGCGCACCGGACACGGTAATTAGGCGCAATTCACACGCTTTCGGGCACACGGAAACTACTTGTCACGGTATTTTCAACGCTCCTCCTTGCCCACTTTTTTCCACTCCTTCCCTGGCGCGCCCCCTCCCCTCCCCGAGGCGCTCAGAGAAGCTTTTGGAGTTTCGAATCTTTCGGACACTGTAGAATGCGGGGCTCCCCGGACGCGGGCCCGGCCAATCAGAGCGCCGTCTGCCTCCCCTGGCCAATGGCAGGCGCCACATTGTTGTCCAATTCTGTCTAATGGAGCCCTAAGGAGCAACAATAGAGCGGGCGAGCGGCTCATTGAGAGTCTGGCAGCGCCGGGCAACTGCGGCCCGGCTGTGCGCAGCGTCCGGCGCGCTCCGCGAAGGGACGCGGCGAGGGCCGGGTCGCGGGTTCCAGCCAGTCGGTCCCTAAACGGTCCCCCGGCTCCGATTTCCGACGGAAGGGTTGGACTGCGCGGCGTTCAGAGGGGGTCCGGAAGTTCGGACATGGTGACTGAAGGAGGGTGACGTGGTCAGATCAGGGGCCGGGGGCAAGGGGAAGAGGCTGAGAGCGCCAGCGTCGCGGGCGGAGCTGGAAGGCGCGCGCAGCGCCCGCGGTGGAGGATCCCCGAGCCCAAGGCAGGTAGTTGAGGGCCTCAAGGAGGGCGGGGGGACGCGGCCCGGCCTTCCGCCCCTGTTGACGAAACCCGGGCCACTCTGGCTTTAGGGACTGCGCGGCTCGAGGGGCCTGAGGGAAGAGGCAACGCTCACTGGAACAGGGTCCAGAATTCTTGCGCGGAGACACCAGGATCCGGTCCTGGGCTCAGGCCGGGATCCCGGGACCCAGAGGAGGCCGCGGCGGAAGCTTAGAGTTGGGCCTTCTTGGGCCTTCAGAGGCCAAGGCGCAGGGGGACCTCCTGTGTTCTCCGAGACCCAGTTCCAGAGGCGACTCCCAACGCCTCGGTCCTGCCAGCTTGGGCCGTTCAAGTCCCACGAACCCAACTCCGAGACCAGAACTTGGGAAATCTGCTCCCGAGCGGGGTCCCGCTGGGCCCCAGGATGGGGAGGGCGTGTCTGACGACTGGATCCCTAAACCAGGAGGGGAGGGGTGGGCTGGGTGAGTGGCTCAGCGAAAAGGCTCTCTTCTGCAATGCCTGACTTCTGCAAGATACTTTTTCTTCCCCGACTTCTCCGGACTACAAGGCTAAAAACTTGTTTTTACTCGATCCCCCAGCCCAGCCTATGCCTGAGGGTTCTTTTTTTCACGCACACACCTCTCTCCCGCGTGGACCCTCGGTCCCAGGCCCCAATATCACCTGTTATTCGCTGTTTTTCTCGCTTCTAATGGTAATCTTCGGGGTGGGTTTGCCTATTGAAGAGAAGTTTCTTGCTCTGAATTTTCTCTTTAATCCTCATCCCCAGGTCTCCTAAACTCAGCTTCACAACCATTTTCTCTTATTCTCCGGAGGCTCGTACCTTGGAATTTGGAGCCTCCACATTCCCACGGGCCCCTGGGCCTAACTTTGCCCCTGAGTTTATTTCCTCACCTTCACTCCACTTCCTAGAGCTTTTTTTTTTTTTCTTTCTATTCTTGATTTTTTTCTCTCTCTCATTCACCCCTCACCAGCGAAAACTGTTCCAGCCCCACCAGCTGATCTCCATGGTTTAGTACCTCCCTCCTCGTCTCCCTTCTACAAAACAGAACATTTCGCTCCGGATTTCCCTGTCTTGGTTGGTCTTGGCATCAGTCTAATTGTTGGGTCAAATTTTTCTCTCTAATCCGAGTCCCATCAAACAAACATTCTTCTCTACCCGACTAACCTCAGTTATGCTAAAGTTTGGGGGTATTTTTTAAAAAAGAACCCACGTTACACTCATCTGAACCAGTGACTTTCAAACTTTTTTCCCCAGCGGAACCACTGATTCAAATGAAATCTACCCACAGTGCATAAATGAGTTATAAGAAGAACTCTGAAGGGAGTGGGGTGAAGGAGCTGGGCATTTACAAGGAGGCTCCAAAGCAACTCCTCCCAGCAATTTGGTAACTGCTAGCCAAACTGTCCGCTGCCGAAATGCCCCTCTCTAAACCTGGATTCCTCAAGGGTGCGCTTTAGCTTAATGCACCATGCGCTCCTCACCGCAAGTTTCTCCTCTCTTCCCATGGTCTTCCACGCCAGGTCCTGCCATGGAGCTGCGCTCTGAGCTGCCCAGCGTACCCGGCGCGGCGACGGCGGCGGCGACAGCGACGGGGCCGCCCGTGGCTTCGGTGGCGTCGGTGGCAGCGGCGGCGGCGGCGGCCGCTTCGCTACCGGTGAGCGTGGCGGGCGGCTTGCTCCGGGCGCCGCCGCTGCTGCTGCGGGCTACGGAGAAGTACCCGCGGACGCCCAAGTGCGCGCGCTGCCGCAACCACGGCGTGGTGTCTGCACTCAAGGGCCACAAGCGCTACTGCCGCTGGAAGGACTGCCTGTGCGCCAAGTGCACGCTCATCGCAGAGCGCCAGCGCGTCATGGCGGCGCAGGTGGCGCTGCGCAGGCAACAGGCTCAGGAAGAGAACGAGGCGCGCGAGTTACAGCTGCTCTACGGCACCGCCGAGGGCCTGGCGCTGGCCGCCGCCAATGGCATCATCCCGCCGCGACCGGCCTACGAGGTCTTTGGCTCTGTGTGCGCAGCCGACGGCGGGGGGCCGGGAGCTGGAGCGCCCGCGGGGACCGGGGGCGGCGCCGCGGGCGCGGGGAGCTCAGGTGAGGAGAAGGGAGCAGGGACGGGTCCAGGGGTGCGAGGCCTTAGGGACTTAATCTCGGTACTGAAAGAGTAGAATCCCGTTCTCCAAGTGCCCAAACTGCTGGAGTTGGCCGCGCACCCAGCTCCTAATTTGGGGCATAAACACACAAAACTCTCCTTTCTCCCCTTTCTGAAGCATTTGCACTTTATTCCTTTCTCCCACCCCAGGCCCCAGGTAAAGGTTTTAATCTTAACGCCTCTACCCAAACGCAGGGATGTCCCAGCTTCCTTGGTTAGTTCACTGGGTCATCTCCCGAGCGCCAAAAACCACGCGTCTTATCTTTTCCTTCTTTCTGCCCTTCTCTACACGCCGCAGATTACCCACCCCACCCCCAATCCCCCCACCCCCGCCCTCGCCCCGCTCCTTCCCAACTCTCTTCAGAAATCCCACTGTCTCCAAATCTCCTCCCCCGCCCAGCTTCGTTTATTCTAGGTATTGAAGACACCGAATTCCTTTTCCACCCCTCAGTCCCCCGGGCGAGATTCCTTTTCTTCTGTTCCCAGTGTTCCCTGATCAACCGCCCTGCTCCTTTTTTCCAGCTTCTTTCCCCACTCGTCTCCCTTTTCTCAGAGTATGCGCTCTCTCCCTTCTCTCAATCCCGTTTCCTTTTCCCCCTCTATCCCCTGTCCAGCCCTACTCTTTTTGAGACTCCTTAGGCTGTTTTGGTAGGGCTGGGAATTAGGCCAGTGGGGGTTTCAGCTTCCAGATTGGGAGGGAAGAACTTCTAAGCTCTTGATTTTGGAGAGAATGGATTAGAAACAGAGGCTCTACTTTTGCCTGTAGAGAGGTTTGGGATCTTATGAACGCCCAGGGTACCTTCCCTTACAGGCTGTGCTGCCCAGGGCCAGAGAGCACCCAGGGCTGGGTTGGCTCTTGGAATCACAGGGATAGAGTGAGGCTTTCTGTACAGCGTGCTGGTACAGGTGCGGCATGTGTTGGCTGCTTTTTGAACTTTGGGTCAGGCCACTTCTCCAGAGCAGAGCAAGACTAGGAAGAGTGAAGACGTTAGGCACAGTCGTAGGAAGAGGGTCCCTGGACATTAAGTTTACAGGGCATAGGTGGTTGGGGTTCTGGGTACAGAAAGAGTGTGCTCTAACAGCCCGGAAAGAGAGCTAGGGCTCTAGGAGTTCAGAGGGGAAGGAATGCTGGAGCAAAAAGACGGACTTTGGAGCTCAGTAAATGAGGGTCGTGGGGCTCAGAGGGAAAGGAAGCTGGGGCTCGGGTGCCACAGGGTGCGGTCATTTCCGTGCTAACCCCTCCTTACATACCCCTTTCTCCCCTCCTAGAGGCCAAGTTACAGAAGTTTGACTTGTTCCCCAAGACGCTGCTTCAGGCAGGCCGCCCAGGCAGCCCGCAGCCGCAGCCGGGAAAGCCCTTATCACCCGACGGCGCGGACTCGGGTCCTGGGGCATCGTCCCCAGAGGTGCGGCCGGGCTCGGGCTCGGAGAACGGCGACGGCGAGTCCTTTTCTGGGTCACCCCTGGCCCGGGCCTCCAAAGAGGCAGGTGGCAGCTGCCCAGGCAGTGCTGGCCCCGGAGGTGGCGGCGAGGAGGACAGCCCGGGATCCGCCAGCCCTTTGGGTTCAGAATCCGGTTCCGAGGCCGACAAAGAAGAGGCGGAGGCCTCGCCCGCGCCAGGGCTGGGCGGGGGCCCGGGTCCACGGCAGCGGACGCCGCTGGACATCTTGACGCGCGTCTTCCCGGGCCACAGGCGGGGCGTCCTGGAGCTGGTGTTGCAGGGCTGCGGCGGCGACGTGGTGCAGGCCATCGAGCAGGTGCTCAACCACCACCGCGGGGGCCTGGCGGCCGGCCTCGGCCCCACCGTGCCCCCAGATAAGGCCGCAGTGGGGGCGGTAGGCGCCGCGGACGACGCGTGGCCAGGCCGCGTGGACGCCGCGGCCGCCGGGGGCCCGGGGCTCCCCGCGCCGCTGCAGGCGGGCCCCGCCGCACCTCCGCACCACAGACCTTTGCTGGCCGGCGCCATGGCGCCCGGGGCTCTGGGCTCGCTGAGCAGCCGCTCGGCCTTCTCGCCACTACAGCCCAACGCCAGTCATTTCGGCGCCGACGCCGGCGCCTACCCGCTGGGCGCGCCGCTCGGCCTCAGCCCCCTGCGCCTGGCCTACTCGGCGGCGGCGGCACACAGCCGCGGCCTGGCCTTCATGGCTCCCTACTCCACCGCTGGCCTGGTGCCCACCCTCGGCTTCCGCCCGCCCATGGACTACGCCTTCAGCGATCTCATGCGCGACCGCTCGGCCGCCGCCGCTGCCGTGCACAAGGAGCCGACCTACGGCAGCGGCCTGTACGGGCCCATGGTCAACGGCGCCCCTGAGAAGCAGTAGGGCGAGCGTCCCCGAGCCTGTCGGCCCCCAAACAGGGACCAGCCTGGTCCCCGCGGGCCGCCGGCCAGTCCTCGCCTGGCGCGCGCTCTGCGCCCCTTCTGGGGTCCTCTCGCTCCATGTTGGTTTTCAGTTTTGTTTTGGACCAGTGGGTGGGGAGAGAGGAGCAGCTTCGGGTGCAGATGTTCTCGGAGGGGATGCTCCGCCCAGATCCTCGACCCCGACCCCCTCATCAAGGCTCCCCAGCCCTTCGAAAGGCCAGGAATTCTTGCGAATTCAGAGGCTGCAGCCGCCGCGCCAGCTCCTGCCTCTACTGTCTCTATGCTCGTCTCACCTGCCCACGCTCGCAAATGGATGGCAGGATAGTCTGTCTTTATGTGTCTCCCCTTTCCTTAAAAAAGTTTAAATATTCTAACAAATATAAATTTAGGATGTATAAATCTCTTGGCACTGAGTCGAGTCTTTGGGACACACATATATATCGATATCAATTGTTAAAAAAAAAAAAAGGAAACAAATTCTAAGGTGCACTTTCCTCGTTGCGGTATTTGTCGCTCTCTTTGTTGCTTATGCCGATAAGCATGGGTTTCCTTGGTGCAGTGTGAGTTTTTATATATGTATAAATCTATATATAAACTATACATATATATACAAGCCAGTGTATAATGTTATAAAATGGAATTCTAAGTTATTAATTGTAATCTGTAGGTGACCTCGGTATTAACGTGAAAAATATTCAAAAACAAGCAAAAAAAAGGACAAAACGGAAAAAATTAGACTATGCGCGCTTTGTACTTAACAGGTTTTATAGATGAAATATATCGTCAACTCGAGACGAATCCTGCCCACCCGCCCCTCTTGCCTGCGGCCGGTCTCTCGCTAAGGAACGGTCAAGGTGCGCCCAAAAGCAGGAGCGGAGTGACGTGTGACTGAGCCAGAGCCGCCCGCTGGAGCCCATCCCCGCCTCCCCGGACTCGCCAAACACCTCGGCCGAAGGGCCGGCAGCGGGAAACGCTGCTGCAGAGAATGGCTCACTTTGTGCTTTCCTTTGCATAGACATGAGCTAGAAATAAATGTTATTTTCTAAGAAAACAACACCGAATCCCGTCCCGCTTCTCGGGCGGCCGGGTTGAAAAATCTTTAATTTCTCGCGGGAGCCGCGGTGCCCGGGAGAAGCTCGGCCGACGTCCGGCGGGTGCTACGACCCTCGGGGGTGCGGGACGAGGAGACTTCCAGCCGCGCCCGGGAGAGGCGTGCGCTCAGCCCTCCAGGAGGAGTGGCGCCCGCTGCTCGCGTGGCACCTGGTGTCCCTCCAGCTCCCGCTCGGGCGGGCGGCGGGATCGCCTGGCCAGTGCTGTCTGTTCCTGGAATCCTGCGAGGCTGGCAGAGCGGCTCCTGTTCTCCTTTGGGCGCAGATCTGGGCGCCCACCGCGCGCCTCCCTGATGGGTTTTGGAACGTACCGCAGTCGAGGCACAACCCTGCGACTGGGGCGGGAAGGCTAAGACCGTGTTCCGTCAGAGGCCTGGGAGTTATTTTGGGGTGGTGGGGTAGCGGGGTGCTGCCTTCGCCCTAGGCAGTGTAATGTGGGAGCGGCAGTGATGACGCGCTTTCCAGCCCGACCTCAGTCCTCACTCCGCACCCCTTTTTCCTTCCCTGCTTTAGCGGAGCGGAGGAAATTGGCGGCTCTGGGCCGACCCCCTCCTCCGGCCTCCCGCGTCCCTCCAGCTCCCAGCTGGGTGACTCCCCCTCTCCGAGAAACCGGGCGCGCCCCCTCCCCTAGGCTGGGCCGGCGACTTCCCAAGGTAAACTTCTGGGGCCGACTCGAGTTCCGCCAGGCGGTGAAACTTAATAGCAGGACAAGAAAACGGTTTAATAAAGAAGGGCTTTAATAGGGAACTAATTTGATTGAGTTGCCTAATTCCACTTTAATTGGAAAGGGGTTTCGCTGTTTGGTTATAAAGTGAGAGGGTGAGGGAGAGCTGGAAGTGGGGGGCGGTGAGAAGGAGCGAGAGAAGAACGATGGGGCAAGAGAGAGATCGCTCGAGACAGGCAATGAAGATAAGGAAAGGAGAGAGAGGGGGAAAAGAAAAGAAAGAGGAAAGAGTTACCTAGGCAGTAGAGAGGAAGGCGGGAGAAAGTGAGCGGAGCTCTAGAATTGTGAACTTGCTTGTGCTTCAAGGCTGTGCTCTCCTGCCTCCCAACTCCAGGTTTTCGGATGCCTCGAGGTCTCTCTCATTCCGGGTTCCAGCCACCCCTCCTCAGCATCTGCCCTCATCCCCACTCGAGGTGAACTTAAGATCGGCCTTGATCTCCTGGTTTCAGGAGGGATCCATACTGGGTGCTCTGAAGTTTTTGGTTCCTGATGGTCCTCAAGCCAGGCCTAGGGAGGCTGCCTAGGGGCCCGTGTTACCCATTCTCTAAAATACCTAGAACTTCATAGATTCCAAAGTCAATGTTTTAGTTCATCCTCACAGGCAAATCATCAGGAAACTGAGATCCAGAGTGGTCCAGGGACTTGTCCACCCATCCGGGGACCTTGGATCTCTTTTCCTTTCCATTTTCCCACTGGGCCTACTCCTCCTCCTCTCTTGAAGCGGTCTCGGCTGGCCGACTGTGGGGACTCTGCGGAAATCGCGCTCCTGTGTACACACACGGCCCAGAGAGGAGAAACGACTCGCTGCTAGCGCCCAGAGAGGCCGCGGGGCCTCCGTTAGGTTCGAACGTCTTCTTTCATAGAGCTCAGAACGGTTCTCAGGCGGTCGAAGTTAGAGGGGGTGGGGTCGTGGGGTTCCAAGGTTCTTCTCGCTGGTCCGATGGAAACCCAGGGCAGTCAGTCACGGCCTCGGCGCCTGGCGAAGGCCTACATCTTTGGCGCTCCAGACTCCACAGCCCACTGAGCAGTCAGGAAGACTAAACAGTGACCCTTTCAGGGTCGGACATCTACGAGGAGCCCAGGACGCCCAGGCCAGGTTGCTGCGTTGCACGGGTGCGAGTGGCGGGGGTGGGCGAGGAGGCACCTCGGATTCAGGGAGCTTCCTCGGTGGGCTGGAGGGGGCTGGGGCCTGAGGTCGCTGGGATCCGCATTGGGGAAGAGCTTGGGGTTCTCAAGTTGGGCGGAGCTCTCTACCCTGATGGAGAGGACAAAGATGGGAGCATAACCTCTTTTCTCTCGGGAGGGGAAGATGGGACAGGAGTTCCCTTCTTGATCTGTACTGGCTCTTTATTTCCAAACCCTCCTCTAAGCCTGCTGGAGCCGACCCTGGGCTGGACTGCCTTGCCGGAAACATCACTGAAATAGTAGTCTTTAAAAATTATCTCCACTTCCAGCCCAACAGCAGCAGCTCCATGGCTGTGTGCCAGAACCTGTACTAAGCAAGTTACCTGCACTAAGCAAGGACCTGTACTAAGCAAGGACCCTGTGGGGCTGGGGCAGGTGAGGAAGAGCCAAGAGCTGGGATCCAGGCTGTCTCGTTGGCCAGGGGTATTCATTCACAGATCACTGAAGTCAGCAAGTATTTACTCAGTGCTTACTAAGTGCCAGACCCAGTGCAAGACAGGTGCCATCCTTACCCGATAAAAATTGTGTTGGGAGTCAGGAGACAACTAAGCAGGCAAGGAGGCTGCGCTGACCAGTGCCAAGGAGGTCTGCCAGGGAGTTCAGGGAGGTCTGCCAATGAAAGGCACGCTAGGCAAGGTGCTTCACCTGAGTTTCCTTCTCAGTTAAATAGGGCTGTGGTAGCCTGTGCCACGTTGAGTGCTGTGAGGATTAAATGAGATACTGTGCAGAAAGCTCTTAGGTCTGTAGGAACTCGCTGCACAGTGCCTACTCCCTAGGCTTCTGTTATTGTAATTCTCAGATTCTTTGGTATGGACGTTGTCCCAATTCACAGAGGAGGAAATGGCTCAGAGGGATCGAGTGACTGGGACAAATTCAGCTTATAAATTCTCTAAAGTGTCACAAGTTATGGGAGACACTCTGCCCAGGGCAAGGGGCCACAGAGAAAGGTCATCAGATTGAAGAGAGTGGGTTCTGGTGATGCTTCTGAGATGGGGGAAGGCTGCAACTGTGTTCCAAGGAGCTTGATGAGGGGCAGCATTGCAATTCATGGAAGGAAATTGGTGAGGGAGGGTGTGAAGTGTCCCTGTAAAGGAGCAGGTGGAGAGGAAGGAGTTGGGGGCAGGCTCTGATTAGAGGTTAGAGGTTAGGTCATGGAGATCCTTGAACTCCAGTCTAAGGGACCTGGCTTTCAGAGTGCGGGTACCGGCGGACACTGATAGCAGAGCCCGGTGAGATTTGCATTTGTATTGGCTTCCCTGGTGGCTCAGGCAGTAAAGAATCCACCTGCAATACAGGAGACCCGGATTCCATCCCTGTGTTGGGAATATTCAACCTTTGTTGGGAAGATCTGGATTGGATAGGTTGTTAGGAGGAAGGCTGAACATCTCTGAGGAGGAGCTGTGAGAGATGGTAGCACCAAAAATGACTAGAGGGAGCAGGAACAGGGAGAGAGAGGTTGACTGCAAGCACTGCTGGGGCCAGACTCTCCACTGGTGATCCAATGTGGGGAGTAAGCTGAGAGGAGAGCTCATGGCTGATTTGCAGATGTCTGGGCTGGATGACTCACTGAGGGTGATACTCAGAATTTGGGCTTCTGAAACAGAGGCAAGGTTGGAGGGTGAGGAACACTTTTTCAATATTCAAACTACAGGACTTGGAAGGACTTATAGGGCCTCTAGGAATGGACACCAAAATGGTAGAGTCAACATTTGAGTGGCGGCAGGGCCTGGGAGGATGAATGGGTCAGCACTACCTTCCCCCCCCCCCACCCAACCCCACAGGACACAGGACTCTCTTAGTTGAGGCCATAGACCAGGGAAGGGTGTCAAGATCCAGACATTGGAAGTTCTGCCTCTCACCATTTTTGTTCATGCCAAGAAGCCCGGCATATTAAAATTATTCTCTTAAAATTTTGCACCCTTAAAGGTCATTGTCCTGGGGCAGAGCCCTGGGCAGTCAGTTCTGGATCTATTGTGACACAATGGAGCTTAAAACTTAAACTTTGAGACTCTTCACCTGTACACGTTCTTTCCAAGGTCTTGCATTTTGTGCACATAGTCAAGTGGCTTCTTTGTCTTAAAGTTTCAGGCTCCATTAAAAATTCCATCTGCTACTGCACAACACTGGTCACACCTTCTGGTTTCCTCTTTCTGTTAATTATTGCTGCATAGCAAATGCCCCCAAATTTAGTGACTTAGAACAGTAATCATTTTATTACCTCATAATTTTGTGGGTCAGGAATTTGGACAGGGCATGGGCTTCCCTGTGGCTCAGGGGGTAAAGAATCTGCCTTTAATGCGGGAGACCTGGATTCACTCCCTGGGTTGGGAAGATCCTCTGGAGGAGGGCATGGCAACTCACTCCAGTATTGTCTGGAGTATTCCCATGGACAGAGGAGCCTGGTGAGTTACAGTCCATGGGGTGGCAAAGAGTCACAGACAACTGAGCGACTATCACAACACAGC